TTATATAAGAATTTAAAAGAATGCTATTTTTTTATTTTCTTCCATTAGTTTGATCCTTCTTATATTTCTCAGTCCCCCTTTTGCCATTTAATTTAGTTGATTTATTACACGATGATTTTAATATTAATTATATATGATGCCCCATTCCATATCGAACTAAGAGAATAAGTTGATTAATCTACAATAAATTAGATAATTCTTATTTTAGATCAACCGATTAAAATTCAATCAATAACGTATTTGATGTAGATTTTTTGAGAATAGATTTCATAAAAAAGATTTTTTTTTTTTTTTTTGGATAGAATGTATGATTAAAAGTAGGGGTGTAAGTGGTCCGATTTTACCGATTTTTTTTACAGATTTTCAAACCAAACCGTTTTAAACGGTTTGAGAAAAACTCAAACCTAAACCAAACCATTTTGAACAGTTTGAAAAAAAAACTCAAACATAAACCTAACTGTTTGGTCCGATTTTAAACCATCGGTTTCGTCGTATAATTTTTTGTCTGTCTACTTTTATATCATTAATTCATTAAATTTAATATATATTTATATCTCACTAGTAATAAATCTAAAACAAATTAAACCCTTGTTTGAACCAAATTTTTGGGAAAAAAAATGAAAATTTGGACCGTTATTCCACAAGTCCAGTCACTTTTATTGACCTGCTATTTCATGTATGGGACCCAACCTCCTCTCCAATAGTCAATTTTCTCATTATGATGATATGAAAAATATGGCTCAAACAGTGGCTAAATATATTTACTATAAATTTAAATATCAACTAAATCAAAGTGAAATCACAATAAAGTAAAATATAGTTTTTTTTTCATTTTTGTTCACCTTTTTTAAGCTAATGACGATATAATAACGTTACAATACAAGTCTACTAAACTAGATATAAGGTCCAAAAAACATAATGATATCCAACAAGATCTCGTGATCATCATATCTGAAAAAAAGAATACTGATTAAACAAAGAGAATAACCAACCGCAATAATAAAGTAATTGTTTATAATATCTAAATATAACAATTATACAAGTTTATATTTGTATGATGTTACGAAACACATTTAATTTCATATTCTTACCTTAGTTTGCTCCAAAAAGTTATTGATCTGAAAGTTTATTTGTAGCAAATATTATCACCGAAAGTTTAGGATCTCTTTGTCTCCAATTTGGTATAATGGATTTCAATTCAACTTTGAAAATGCGTGAAAAATCTGAAAAAGAAGTGTGTGGTGCCGGTGGTTCAAAACTGTGTTGGGTGTCGACTGGAGTTCATTTAAATTTTGAAGAAGAAAAAAGCTTTTGATAGATTATGTTAGTCTTGAAATTATTAAATATATATTAGGATTATTGGATAATAATAATAATAATAATAATATATTTGCATTAGAAAATTAGGAATTGATAAAAATACCCACAAGTGACAGAACTATTGAATTTTACATATTTGGATGAATTTTTAAAAAAAAAAAACATTTTTTCATTTTTTTATTTTTATATATTTTTTCGCCGATCTGGTTTGATTTTAAACCGCAATTAAAATTCTCAAACCTAAACCAAACCAAACCATTTTGATCGGTTTGATTTGGGTCAAAACATTTTGTTGACCAGATCCACGTGGCACCAAATCGACGGTTTCTAAAATGCGATTTCGATTCGATTTTTTGGTTTTGCGATTTTTGTTTACGGTCCTAATTAAAAGTAAGAAAAATTATAGATATACATTATATTGTTGAAAGAATATATGATTAAAAGTAATTTTGATAAAAGATAAAATTTAAAGAATCCATATCAACAACTAAGTACAATCAAGTGATATAAATATTGGAAACTTGATCGGTCGATCATCGATTTCTACAATGTGCTTTTAAAGATCCTATTTAATATTGTCCTTATTGTCCTTCCAAATAAGTACGAAAGAAATTTATTTGAAGCAAGTACGTACTTTTTTTATTAAGTACTTGTATTTATCGTCTCTAGAAAATGACCAAACAAGTGCCAACCCGACTTGGTACGGCCGATAATGACATCCTTCTTGCTCAAATAATTGGTTGCACAATTGCACTTGAATTTTTCAAGAAAAACAAAATGATTGATAGAAAGTTGGATTATCCATTTAAAAATACATTATAATAGAAATGTTGCGATATTGTTTAGTATGTAGTTTATTGAAACAGACAATATAATACATGAAAAGTTAAATTATTTCTCCATATTAATACTATAAGATCCTCATGAAATCATTAATTTTATTTAGTAGTGTGGATCTAATCGTATATTTGATAAAAAAAAAAATGTTGGACACTAATTCAAAGAAAGCTGGACGAATACAATCATGCTACACATTCAAGTTTAAATCCAAATGGAACGTGTGTCGACGCATGACTAGACAGTTTGAAAAATTAAAAACATTCAATCATTTTCTGACATATCGGTATGTCTCTTTTACTTCCCTATTTTTAACTCTGAACAAGTGACTTTATTCCAAAAACATGTATATATATATAGTGTGCTCTGCTCCAATTCAAATTCGGGGCGGAGTCAAGGGGGTCCTCCAGAAAGAGAAAAACACTTGAGCTAATTAGATCAAATATTATTGCGGTCTGATGGTAAAAGCCTCGTTCTTCTATTGTGTTGGGCCTTTTGGCCTAGAGGCTAGAGCTCCATTTGCATTTCATCATTTTCTCATAATTTTATTAATTTTAGCATTAAATTTTCCTTACTTGAGATGGACAATCTAACTTGAGATGGACAATCTAACTTTTAGACTAGTAAACTTAGAACTTGTTTGCCAATCATTATTGTAGAAAAAAAGAGTTTTGAATAGTGTTTTTTAGGAAAATGTGTAGTTAAAAAGTAGGAAAAAGTTTATGGCATGTGTAGAATATTTTTATTGTATAAATGTATAGTTGAAAATGGTAATGTAACAAACCATAAAATAAATTAATGCTTGTCATACATGCACTTGATAAAATACTTTTTTGAAATCAACTTCATATAAAATAGGAAAAATTACATGAAATTCTATATTTAACCCTTGTTCAATGGCCATTATTTGGGAAAGACAATGCTTTGAATAGTGATTTTTAGGGGAATGTGTGGTTAAAAAGTAGTAAAAATTTTTAAATTTACATGTCGAATATTTGATTATATAAATGTCTGTTTGAAAATTAATATGCAATTTTTTTTTTCGAAAAATGGCTATCGAACAGGTCTTAATTCATAATGGTGGCTTATACGAATAGAGCTCGTGGTGGATAGACGGCTGTGTTGGTATTAGTGCAAAATAGAATTTTTGGGATATTGGGTGTGCTATAGATGTTTAATTACTTTTACGATATCTAGACTGGTACTCTACTACCACTGATTTTAGATAGAATTATTCATATGAGAATGAAGTGATGGGGTGGAGTGAGAATAATAATTTGATTTGTGAACTTAATTGTGTGGTTTATGACTTAACATGTGAATGTCATCGTTAAAATAATTAATTAGTGGTTATGATAAGTTACTTATTTATAACTAACAAATAATTTGCCATCTGTTAATGGTGAATTTATGGTTTAACTCCCTTTTGTCTATCATTCTTCAAAAACTCTTTTATTCTAGAATTCAATTTCAACTACACATTCTAACAATAAAATATTTTTACCTTGTGTCATTTAAGAAATGCAAGTGTAAGCATCAACGACTACAATATGAATATATTTTTACCTTGTACTCTCTCCGTTCCACTTATATAGGTTGATTTTGTTTTTCGCAAGGACTAAGAAATCTTATTTAATATTATTAAAAAAAAAATTTGTTAAAAACTTTCCTAATCTACCATTATTTATATTTGTACAATTTCAAGATTAAATAGGAAAAATTTGTTATAAATAGGTAAATTAAATAAGGATGTATTAGTAAACGAATAAAACAAAACACTCTCAATAAAAAGAAAATAGAACTATGTAATTGAAACAAGAAAATAAGGAAAGTCAATCTATATAAATGTAACGAAGGGAGTAATACTTTTTACACTTCAATCAAATAGCTCATTTATTTAAAATTTACATCCTACAATGTTAATCCAGTATTAGACCATGTTTGGTAGATATAAAAATCAAATTTTTAGTAAATTTCAATAAAAGTTGACAAAATGTATGATTCAAAACTTATGTGTCTCATGAAATAAATTATAAAAATTAATTTTTTATAACTTAAATTAAAATCCAAATTTTAAATTATGCCAAACAGGGGGAAATAAAGATGGAATAATGCTATTTATCATTGTGATGACGGAACATCGGTCATGTGACAGTCTATGTGAAATAATATAATTGGACAATTCAATTTTTATGAGAGGGGGAGGGGAGAGAGAGATGTGAGAGTAATAAATTGCTATATCACCGATACTCCATCATCACAATGATAAATAACATTACTCATAAAGATGGTTATCATAACCACAAAAGAGGAATAGATATGTACTCTTATGCCATATTTGGCACGCAGTACTAGAGATGGCAATCGGCTCATCGACTCAGGTTGCCCGTGACTTGGCTCGAAAAAAGCTCGAGTCCGTCTGGCTTAAGGCTCGGGAGAACCGAGCCAAATCTCAGGCCAACCCCCATTTTTAGGTGCTGGGCAAAGCCCGAGCTAGCCCGTGTGGCTCTCCAGCTCGAGAGAAACAAGCATATATAAAAAAATAATAATAATAAAAAAAAAAAATTAATGGCTGCAGGTTGCTGCCTTGTTTTGGCAGCAACTAAAATTAGTAGCTGCCTTTAAAAAATAATAATAATAATAAAATACACCAAACAAAATCCGAGCCTGCCCAGCTCGGCTCAAGCCTAATTTTTTTTTGCCAAGCTTTTGCTCGGCCCTGCTCGGGCCAGGAAAAAGGCTCGAACATTTTACCCGAGCCGAGTCTAAAATTTCGGCTCGTTGACATCTAATCAATAAATGCCTGGAGTCATAAAAAAAGAATGGAAATGGGCAAGACAAAATAATGTAAAAAGAGCGTGCTAGCCATCTACTAACTGAACAATGGATATGTAATTATTTACAGTAGTGATATTAACATGATCGAGCTGCCTAATCCCAAATTTCTACCTTAAGATGCCATTGATCACAAGCAATCAAGCAGAAAGTTGTCTACACTGAAGAAGAGGCACATATATCACGACTTTAACTCAACTGACATCCAAATGCTCAATAATTTCAAAGTGCATCTGCAGATTAGCAGGTGTACCGTTAAAATATGATCTCTCGCGAATATATAATTTCCCCATATTCCTATGAGCAGCAGTTTTAAGAAGCCGAACTAGTGCATCCTTTTCATTCCTTATCCACATTCGCCTGCTATCACCCCACTGTCTAGGAGTTCCGTGAAAAACAAACCGAATTCCAGAAGCTCCATGAGCAAGGCGCTCAGATATTTTATCAATAACGTCTCTGTCAGTAAGATATGCACCTTTAGAGTTCAAGCCAACGTCCACATAATGAATCTCAGTTATGCTGTTCAAGAGGCGGTCTTTTGAAGTAGGTACAATCATATCCTCTTCTCTGGTAGCAAGTCCTCCTCCATTCATCACATTCTTGTTTCCTTGAGAAGGGCATTCTGTGTGTTGGACTTCTGCGAAAGCAAGCTCAGTTACTAGCTGGTTAAGTATGGTGCCACCCTTGCTAAATCCAAGAACTGCTGTTCTCGGTTCACATGAAAATGATGGAGTGACCTCAGCCTGGTATGGCTCTTTCTGTTTCCCTAAAATGACTTGCTTGGCCTGAGAAAGCAACAAATATGAATATTGATGATTTGATTACCAGAAAATTACAAAATTTTAGAATAAGGCTTAATTTTTGGTTTTGTTGTTGTGTACAGAAAATAAAGCAATGATGCACGGAATATGATTTAGGATAAATTTCAGAAAATAGATATAATTGCAATCAGGACCAGGAAAGATAGAATCAACCAGAATCTTATCACAAAATTGTTGAAATTGGTAGAGATTGTCATGGACTTGTGGTACGTTATCTGAAGCATAGCAATGACTTTGAAGTAAACATGAAATGGCTTATAAAGAGGAGTAAAATCAATATAGGGCAAGCTACTGGATCCACCCACAGTAAAATATCTGATTATTTTTTATTCTAGTGCATAGATATTTCATCGTGGAAGTGCATAGACATCATGGAGAAAAATTTAAAACTATGTTTCAACTCCATATTAATGAATTTCAGGCATGCTATTAATCCACCAAATGACTTCAAGATGAAACTCTTTAAAACTCTTAAACAAAGAATTTCTTATTACACACAATTATACTATAGGACTTGGTGTATTTTATTCATGAAAATCACTTCAGGAATTTGGCAGTTCAACTCGATAAAAATCTATGGTGAGGAATTGAAAGTTCATACAACTTAGAAAGCATTACCTCTTTCAGAAATTTTGACAATAGCAGGACCAGCGATGTAGAAGCTGGGAACTCCGTTGCATCATAAACTTTTGGCTCTCCATTCTCGTTAACAGAAGGGATGAAATCCTTGTAAACTGCAAAAGGTCCATTGAAAACAGGAGCCTCAATAACATAAGCATTAACAGACCCCTCAAATTTAGAAACTAAAATTTCAACAATTTTTTGAGGATCAGATAATCTCTCTATCACTGGATTTCCAGTCCCTTCCACTCGATCTCCATTAAAGAATATGACATTTCCATAAGGTACCTATCACAAATGGGAAGTAAGATATTAATAGACTCAAAACAAAATAAAATCTATAAGCAACTCTTTTGTTTTTGCTATATGCAAATAAGGATTCAAAAAAAAGAGTTATTGCAGCACAAATTGTGCTTTCCGGGTTTTGTGAAGGACATGCTCATAATAACTTACAGAAAGCCTTTTGGAAGAAGTAGAGAAGCAGATAGATGCTGCAACTCTGTAGAAATTTCTGCTATTTGGATACAACGGAATTTTCAAAATTCCACTCCAACGATCCATGAATGAATTTGCTGTAGAGATATATCGTGCAACAAATAATGTTAAGCTCAATGCTCATTAACTGAAAAATAATAATAAATATCAATATTGATATATGCCACCACACGACCACCATCATCACGGTAAGAATAACCCATTAATTTTTTTGATAGGTAAGAATAACCCATTAATGGTAAGCAAAGGTTTATTTGGATCCCAAAAGTTCATTAAAGCAGTCATTTCATCCCATAATAACAAGACATCGTTAGCCCAAAAGTCTCTTCTCTGGGCGTTAGTCTTTTACACTTTACAATATCCACACTATCCGTTGTCTTCAATAGCAACGTTTTGAGAGAAGGGTCAAGGGTACCTTTAATAATAAATAAAATAATCAATATATAAATTTATCAAAATAATTTGACAATAGCAATATCAAAATAAGAACTTAAGAACACAACAATATAATCATAATCAACGTCCTTTTTCATGCCCTTCTTTCTACCTGCCATATAATCATATCAGGGATATTCCCCAAATCATGTAGCTTAATCAAAACAATCAATAGCAATATCAAAATACGGAATAAAGAGAACAACACTACCAAAAAAATCCACAGATTTTTCTTGAAATTCGCTTCACAAGACTTGATTAGATTTTTACTCGGATTAAACGCTAAAAAAAATCTGCAAATTAGTAAGAAAAATAAACAAAATTGAATCTTGAACTAACCAGGCTAAATTATTCACAGTGAATAGAGGTAATGAATTAAAGCAACGCAAAGACTTTTGGTTCCTCCACTGAGCTGATGCCTTGGCTGATCGATTTCCTTGAATTATAGTACTCTATTAGAGAATAGAGAAGCCAATCATAAAATGGGTTGGTCACTTGAGATAGGTATAATATTTGGGCTTTAAACTTGGGCCTAACAAAGAAGTTTATTTTAAAAAATTGAGTGAATTGTTCAAATGGTCACTAAACTTTGTAAAAAATTTTTAAGGAGTCATTGAACTTTAAAAATCATCTAAATGATCATTGAACTTGGCAAAAAGTTTCTACTAGGTCACTGAACTTTAAAAATTGGCCAATTTTTATTCGATTTTTAAATATCTAGTTTTATTTGTTAATAACAAATAAAGGGAGAGGGCCACCTAGGGTCTAGTAGAAGCAGTTGTCCCTACTGAAATTTGGTCCTGGGTATTTCACAGATTACACTAGAGGGCCGACTGGTTTTAAAGGCAAGAAGAAAACCATAAACGTTAAGAATTCAAGTTCCCAAATTAGAAGACAAATTAGTATCACAATTAAAAAAAAAGTACTAAACATTTCACTTCAGCTATAAACCAACCACTTTAATATTCATTTAAACTCCACTTGATTGGTCATTCAATAACTTTATTTTTCTAGAGAAATCTGTTAACGCAGAAAGAATATAAACTAGTTTTAAATATCAAAATGTAGTCATATTATTTATCACCTTCAAAGAAGAAAGCATTTTCCTCACAACTATTAACTTTCGAAGTACTAATTTAAGATAAAATCAAAACTAGAATATCTTGTGTCCCCAATATAATTATTCAAATCAATTAAAGGTTGAAGTATTTTCTAAGAGTTGATGGTTTAAATAATATATATATATATATTTTTTGTTGATTTAGTTAGAAGTGTTAAAAGGACCCACAAGATGAAAGAAAGTTTGAAAGGATATTTCAAGTTTTATCACTATAATTTATGCTATCATATGAAAAAAATGGCTAAGGGTGGCGCATGCATTATTCAAAAACTTGAAATATGAAAGGTATGTATAATTTTTGAAAAGAAAGGTTGTGTGTGAAATTGTCATAAACCTCATGAGAGACATGCGTCATTCAAAACTTGAAATAAATTAGGTTTGTGTAACTGTTAAAAAGGAAGTTGTAGTCTTTGAAATTGTCAATAACTTCGTGGGAGGTATGCATTATTAAAACTAGAAATAGGAGAGAGGTTTGTGTACTTTTTGCTAAAGGATGAGGTGTTCTAAAATTATTAGAAACCTCGTGGAGGTCTCTATAATTTACCCAAAATTCTGATTATTTTAAGTTGGGGTTATAGCTTTATGAAGAGAAGACAAATATAAATATTTTTAATAAATTATACAAATTTGTGTAAAAAATGAAAACTTAAAAATGCCAGGTTAGTAGTGTAGTTATTAGTAATAATACTTGAATTTACAGAAAATTAATACATAGATGAAAGGGGGAAAATTAGATGAAAGACTATCGGAAATTAGCCCTTGTTTGACTCCATTTTATCAAAAGTGGAAATTACAAGAATCCCAACTTTTAAAGATCTTAGTGCGAATATCAGGTAGGATGGTTTTTTTGCACATTTCAGGTATTATATAAGTCCTATTTCATCCCAATCTAATTTGAAACCCTAAAATTCAAATTCAATTCTCAGTCTTCTCTCTACAACTCTTTCTCTCTCCTCTTCTCTGCCTTCTCTCTCCGAACATCGATGACTATTCACACTTCGGTGACCGACGATGAAGGAGCTGCACCGACGACCCATTCTCTTCTCTCTCTTCTCCATGCTCTGTCATCGTTCTCATCTATCTATCTTCTCTCTTTGCTCTAACCCAGGGTCAATTTCCTTCGTTGGTAATTAGGGTTTCCCTTTCTATCACTTCATATGTATTCAATTTCAATGAGCAGGCGAAAACTATGGCAGTTTTGTATCTGATTTGTTGGTCGATCTTGCGGTGGATGTGGTAGTGGTTGAAAATGGTGGTGATGCGAATGGCGGTTGATTTTTGGGCTACGCGATCTGGTGGTTGATTTTTGGGATTTTTTGGGTTTTGATTCGATAGTTGTGCAGTGGTCATCGGTGATGGCGTTTGCAGCGCGATTATGTGGGTGTGATGTAAATTCTGTGTTTAACTGTTTGTGGAAGCCAATTGTGTTGGTGTGACGCGGGTAATGGTGTTATTACTGTTGGTGGTGTTTGCTAGCTGTGGTGGTGCGTTGTGGATGTGGTGTGGTGTGCGGTGGCGATGGTGGTGCAAGTTGGTGGTTTGGGTTGATTTTGTGTGTGTGTGTGTGTTTTTTTTTTTTTTTTTTTGCTGGCGATAGACTGTGACCTTAAAATTTGATGACCTCTAACTAAAAAATAATATGTTACCTCAAGGATTTGGTCTGTGACGTTAAAAGTTGATAATTTGTGACTAAAAAATTATCTGTGACCTATAAAGTTTTCGACTTGTGACCTACAAATTTTTTATTTGTGACCTGGAAATAATTTGTGACCAATTAATTTGATAATATGTGACGAATAAATAAATTTGTGACCATTAATTGTTATATATATATATACTCAATAAATATTTTTAATTAATTAAATACATATCTGAATTTTGAATTTTTAAACTATTTACCTGATTTTTGAAATGATGTAAAGAATACACCGGAGATATGAATTTTTCCCTTATCAAATATTCAATTATTAGGCTGTGATGCCATTAAATTGACTCAATCCAATTCTTTGGGCAATGATGAAGTGAAATGGGCTTGTCCCAAGAGATGCTATATTGCCATTGATCAATAACAAAATCATGAAATGGGCTTAAACCCGGCCCCAAACGAGATGGACATGTGTGCTACTCTAGACCTTTGTATCTCCTTTTTTCCAAATCAATGGTGATGACTTGGTTGATATAAATGGGGTCTGAGTGGTTGCCCTAATGACTTCAATCGCGCTATGTGTACCGAGTCGGTTGACAAATACGGTTCACAAAGTGATGTGGCAGTGTTAAAATAAAAAAAAATTGAGAAAACAAAGTCTGAAAACGAAAAAATTAAAGGACATTTTCTCTCTCCCTATTTCCCCATTCTCTCTCTCCCGTATTTCCCCCAAATCGAATCTGGAACCAACCCTTGCCTTTCAACCCATTTCCCTTCTGTTCGAACCATTTCCTCCCGAATCACTAACCTCCATCGTCATCTCCATCTTCCGCAGCAACTAAACTCCGGCACTGTGATGTTAACACGATCCCCATAGTTGTCGAAGAGGACGTCGTGGCAAAGATCGTCAGACACCACAACAAAATAGGTCGACGATTTGAGATTTTTGTTCGGCCTGAGGTTTATAACCAACCCTTCCCTTTCAACACATTTCCACTACCGCGAACTTGTTCAGCCTGAGGTTTTTATGAAATGTTTTTTCCACCAATGACATTTCTGCGATTGCATCTATTTTGGAAGTTAAACCTTGCGATTGAAATCCCTGATTTTTTAAAACAAATTTATGTGCGTGCTGAGCGAATAGACTCATGTGTTGATTGATTTTTTGTTGTTGTTAATCTGAGATTCATAAATTTTGTTGTTAAAGAAATTGACTTTAGCATTTGTAAAGTTAGTGAATTTACCTCTTGCTGGGAAACATGAGCTTCTTTTTGAAGTGTAACAAAATGGCTATGGGAATATGAAATTTGGTCTATTATCCATCTTTGTTTTGCAAATCTGAAATTTGGTGTTAGAATCAAATATGTTGCTGTAAATTTCCATTCCATGGTTTTCTATTTGGCGGAGAAGTTAAAAATTTGAATTTGCCTTTGTTCATTGGAAATTTGATCTGAGATGCTAACATTCCCATATTTTATGTTTGGCATTCGGTAGAAGGAACACAGAATGCCAAAAAAGAACTCCGGAGTTTGCCACGGCTGCAAGAGTGTTGGACACTTCTTCAGTGATTGCCCGATAAAACGTTGTTGCCCACGTTGTATGCATGGATTTCAAAAGTTTTTCGAGGTTGAAAGGGACACTGTTAACACAAGGCAAATTTTTCAATTGTTGCAGTGTGAAGTGCGGGTTTTGGGAATGGTGCAAAGATGGAGAAGCAATTGGTGAATCTAGTAACGGCAGCGCAACTTTGGCTAAACAAGCAGTCCACGAAGCAGTTGAGGATATGTCGCAAATGTTCCAATCTCAAGTCCAGATAAATAATGAAGAAAAGCTTGTGATCTCTGTGAATGTGAATGTGAACGTGACGGTCCATCAAGAAAAATCGCCTATCGAAGGAAAAATGAAGGGGAAAGACACGACTTAATAACTGGTTTATGGTGTAATGGCTCTTTTGTGTTAAGTAGAGGAGTGTTGTATATTTGGGTAATTCGTTTAGTGCAAATGGGGAATTTTTGTTGAACCAGCAGTGCCTTGCTAGCACATATTCAGATGGTAGAGGATTTAGGTTGAATTAGTAGTTCATTGTTGCAATGCACATTTCATGTTGGTGCGTTTCATCCCCCAACATTTTTCATTAACTTTTGTGGTTTCATCAATGATATTTAACTGGCCTCTTTTGTTTTTCTATCTTTACTGTGAATTATGATTTTGATGTGGTTGCACACCGTAGACAAATGGAAAATTCTAGCAACATTTTCAGTTAAATCTTCCTCAAAAGTCCGAGTCAATGAAACAAACAAAATTGCATGTTTGTTATAAATAGGTACACGGAGAAAAGAACAATCAAGAATAAAATACGTAGTATTGAATCTTGAAACAGGATTCCAGATTTGCCACTACAATAACATGTTACATTGATGAAGGCGTTCTAAATTTCCATGCGGAGTAGTGACAAAGGAGAGACAAACTAGATAACAAAACTACTACCACACTGGCAACATGATTGATCCACAAAAAATGGTAGCACAACACAAGACCAAGCCTATCAGACTTGAAATTTTGAAAAATTGTACACAACATGAAGAAAGGGCAATATCACTAACAAGGGCAAAATTTTCTGCATTTCATTTATCTTCGAATCAAAACTTATAAATATTACAAGAATGTAATGACACTACAGCCTATAGAAACCTAGACTAGATTAACAAAAACTCCTCAATAGTAACCCGATCGTTAGACCTTGTGTTGATAACAAAATGCTGTGGGTACTTCCTCAACAACATGAGCAACCCATACCATGGTTTTCCATTGCTTCAACATGAGCAACCCATACCAGTGCTGGCCATTATTCAGTAGGCTCCTCCTGGAAAGTCAAACTCATAAAAGCATCATCACTGCACAGCCTACACAGCTAGATGAAATTTCAACAAAGAGTAAAGATGATTATCGAGAAACAGTTGATGGAAAAACAAACAATTTCGTGAGTTGGATTAAGGATAATGTATAGTATATCCCAATGAACTAACAATTTCGTGACTTACAGCCATTAGAATACATATTTACCAGAAAAGAATTCCACCCATTTAGCACAAGTTTCTCACAGTAGTATCCATAATAGAATCTTAACATTTAAACCAACAACATCATGTTCGTACTACCTATATAAGACAACAAAACATACTTTCTTTTTGATTGAAACGTGAACATAAGCAATACTTGTTTCTAGATGCATCCTGAGAATTTAATACCTGTCATCTCCATCTTTGGTGTTTCTTGAAAGCACAGCACAGAAGAGTAGGATCCTCACAACTTTATTGGTCTGTAGGTTTACTACCTAAAAACACAAAAAAGAGATGGAGGATTTGCATATTTATCACCGAGAAAAACAAATACAAATTGTAATTGTTGTGATTGAAATATATGTGTGCCTTGGGAATTCGAATTAACGTTTGTGGTAGTTGTGGGGATCAACGTAGTACACGACACTTGTTGAGTGAACATACGGCTCATCCCATCAACCTACATGACGTTCTTCGCATTAATAACATCAGAAATTCTTACAAAACTTAGTAATTAATATACAAACCAGTAGTAGTTACGAAAATGAGAACGGCATTGGCATCGGCATTGAGTATTGCTGCTCAGGTGGTGGAGAAACCTCGGCCACACCATCCGGGATACAACTATTACTCGGGGTTGGTCTCTTTCCTTTTGCGTGGCTTGATCGCACCTGCAAGTATACCATAATGAATTTCACGTATTGTATAAAATGAAGTGAATAAAAGAGTATAACATACGAGTGTACCTTTGATGTGGTAGTGTTCGCTTCCAAAGGCCCTTTTCTCCATTTTTTCCTTGGGATTTTTCTTCGACGGTATTGGATCTTTCACAATGGCACTACCTTCATTTCGCGATACAGTGCAATGTAAATTGATATTACTGCAAGTACTCAAGGGGGTCAAACTAAACTCCTTGTTTTGAAGTTTATCCAATCCATGATCGCACGATACCTCCCTTCGTCATCTGCTGCAAGGTTTGCTACCGAGGCAAATGCCTTACACATTTCGTCATATCTCAACTGTGCAGGAGTACTAACCAAACCGTCGTAATTAATGGCAACCCTTATGTGTGCTCTACTGATGTCTCGCCTCCACCTGCGCAGTATATAACGATCTGGCATCACACTCACATCATTACGTATCAATACCGCGATTGCATGCCTACACATTATACCCCGAAATGCGAACAAGTGACAGCTGCATATGATTTCGCAGTTCTCCCTATTGAAGGACACCTGAAAATGTTTTTTCTTCCGTATCTCCTCGCAGACTACATCCTCCCGTACCTCATGCATCATCCCCATACGTCCTTCTGAAACAGACATGAGGTCACAGTAAACCTTCCCTGCGAATTCGACTTGAACTTCCTTGAACTTCGAAAGTGTGTACAATGTCTGATATTGCTTTTCCATTTCATAAGTTGTTGCACACGGGAGCTTTTGAGAGGACTTGAAATCGGCCTAAAATTCCTTCTCAACCTTATTCCGCAATGCTTAGTTCGTACTGTTCAACGAACTGTTTCAACGATGTTTTAGCGTGCACATAACCGTCGAAGAAGGCATTCATACTTTCACTTCTCTGCGTCGTTGACATACGAGCCTAGAAAATTGTTTTTAAGAAACAGGGCACCCAACGTCCTCTATTTTCATACAATCTAGACAACCAAGCATTTTTCCCTTAAGTCATATGTATCAAGCATCGATTTCCAACCTTCCTCAAATTCTTCAACAGATTGCGAATTGTAGACCAATACGTGTATGGCCGAAAATATCGAAGACTTGTCCATGTGATGTCCGAACTTTTCTGGCAACTTTTTCAATATGTGCCACAAATACCATCTATGTTTCGTATTAGGGAAAACTATCTGAATTGCATTCTGCATTGCCCTATCTTGATCGATGATTATTCCACGCGGAGCTTGACCATTCATGCACTTAAGCCATGTCGTAAACAACCACACAAATGTAACTGTGTCCTCATTCGATACCAACCCACAACCCAACAACGTTGATTGCCCGTGATGATTCACGCCAACAAAAGGGGAGAAGGGCATATCGTATTTATTAGTGAGGTAGGTTGTATCAAATGTCACACGACCCCGAACTCCTTATATGCTTCCCTGCACCGATTATCAGCCCAGAAGACATTCTTCAAGCGCGAATCATCATCCAAGTCAATACTAAAGTAAAATTCAGAGCATCGGGATTGCATTTCAGAAAAGTAAGTCTGTATTGCAGCTGCGTCACCCTCACCAAGTCTTAGTCGTCTCACCTTTTCGATATAATTTCGACAATCTTTTTCAATACAAGTCATATTCTCGTAGCTACCAGCCTCAACAACTGCGGAGTTAAAACTTTTATGCAATGATATTCCTGCTATGTCATTCACTTCGAGCTTTCGTTTCACGTGTGCCGTTATTTCATTATTGCATCTATATAATCTGGACTTAGTAGGACTCATCTTATGGTTGTGGTCAAGATGGACCGCGTTAATTTTCCGATAACCATGGATATCTAAAGATGCTGAGATCCTAGCTTTGCAACCCGTTTGAATTGTTGGTTGCGACTTCAAAGAAGTGCTTGTATTACCAATTCTTCGTCCCTCCCTACTACACGTCAACGTGATATATCTCAAAACACCGTCAACATCTCTCGCAGAACTCCTCTTCCTAACTGGAAAACCTACGGTATAGGCATATCTCGCATAAAAATCATATACTTCTTTTTTATCATTAAATTGCATACCAACCTCCGGCACAGTCAAACCATCTCCTACCATTTCGTCTTCCACGACATTGACATTGTCCTCCACATTCTCAATCTCTGAATCCATGAACAAAACATCTTCCATATTCGGTATACGTACAAAACACAAACAGCAGTATTATTAATTTTTTAAATGTCCAACCTTCAGTCCGAATGTAGCTCCGTTTTGTGCACATGTGTAGTTCAAATTTGCCATATATTTCATCACCCAGTACGTCTTCCATAAAAATCCAGTTTGTTGTTTCTTTGGTTTAATTACACCACATCACATTCAAGCACCCCGAACATCATCTCACCACCAGCATCTTTCACCGTCGTGACCTTAGCCACTGAGCTTACCATTCCTGACGAAGGTTTTCAAATCCGAAACCAACTTGGATTCGAGAAACTATGTCTACAAATTTACTAATTTATTGAAACTACGTCTATATCTTTTATCAATGTCTAAAATTTTAATTTGACATGCTCCATTAATTAATAATTAAGATAGTACTTACTTTATTTCAATTTTAATTACATTTCATAAACGAAATAGACATGGGAGACAAGAACAGACAATACCAACAACATTTTAACCATAAATTCATACTGTCGGAACAAGTCGCATAATTTCGGAGCATCGGGCGCCTACGGCGAGTGTGGAGAACTTGGAAGAAACACGCAAGTTTGTTATGCCTGTAGCAACTAAGAAGAAGATAATGGACCAAAAATTCCAAAACACTTCACTAGTTTCTTGGGGAAAAAAACTTCAGTAACACCGTTCTATATGCTTTGACCATCGACTAACAAATAATTTCCATTTTTGGTGATTATCATTTTTTCCCCTGAACTCGTTACTGTTTTCTGTGATTCTCTTTTGGGACCAAATGGGATTGCGTTGAAGACGAGCTGATTGGGAGAACTGAGGATAGAGAAAAAGCATTTGTTGTCTTTTTTTAATATTTATGTACGTATCAATCACGTGGTATGTTTTCCTCTCCATTTTGGAGCCTAAACCAGCATTCCAAAAATCAATCGGAACTGTCCATTTCCTTCCCATCTTAGCCGTCCATGTCACTTTGTCATCCAATTTTGTAACCAAACCTTGTACAAAGAGCATTATTGTAATGCCTTTTCATCTAATTTTTGTTGTAAGAAGCTTATGGGTTCTCTCATTTTCGACTTTGTGTCTCCTCTCATTCTTCTTCTTCATGAACATTGTGAAGGGTTGGGTTTGTGGAGTTTTCATATTGTACAGACTGGTACAATGTTATTCCGAACCCAAATAATCGATTCCTAATGTTAATGTTCATATGTAGATCTTTAGTGTTCTGGGAAATTTTTTAGTTCGAGTTGTTATATCAATTTTTTTAAAACTCATTTTCAACCACATATATTTCAATAAAATAATTTTACACATAAATTGAAAACTTTTTCTTATATTTTTAACCACACATTTTCCAAAAATCACTATTCAAAAATACATTTTTTTCCCTAAGATGAGACTCAAACAAGGGCTTAATGTTTTGAAGAATAAAATGATATGTAAAGTGCTACTTAATGTATCATATTGGTGTGAGGCGTTATGTTCAATTTGGAGCATTGTGGTCCGTTTAGCTATTTTATAATCTTTATCTTTTCCTGCAGAATGTGTCTTTTGCTACATAGGTTTGCAAATAGTAAATTTCCCTAAAAAATTAGCCCTTGTTTGATTTGGATTTTTAGTAAATTTTGATAAAAGAGGATAAATCACTCATTAAAAAGTTGATAAAAATTATGGATTCTACGAAATATGTGATTGAAAATGAATTAATTAATAATAATTTTTAAGAAATAGGGGCCAAAGCCTTAATATTCTCCATATTTATTGTACTCACTCTCCGCTATATGAATGAAAGTATGAAACAAATCCATGAAAATGAACAATAATCTTGCACATAAGCTGATAAGAACATTTTCCAATGCTCGTTGAAGTTTTACTATTTATGGCATTTCGATGACATTTGATGGCAAACAAGAATCCAAAAGTGCATAACAAATACTAAAAATCATTGGAACAAATCTTATCTCCTTAAGGCCTATATATACACACCACTTTAGAACATTCACAAAACCAACAAAGGCCAAAGAATTTCAATACATATATAATATTTTAGAGCTTCCTACTCCAATACAAGAAGAATGAAGTGTGTTATTGTATCAGTTGTTGCAATTCTTGCTGTCATTCAATTGTTGGTGCAGCCTGGACAGGCCATCACTTGCGGTCAAGTGGACGCGGCTTTGGCACCGTGCATTCCCTATCTTACTGGAGGTGGTGAGCCATCCGGCGCCTGCTGTGGTGGGGTGAAAGCCATCCAAGGGATGGCTCAAACCACCGCTGACAAGAGGGCTTGCTGCACCTGTGTTAAGGCGGCTGCCAATCGCTATGCAAACTTGAAGGATGACGCGGCTCAGGCTCTGCCTATGAAGTGTGGTGTCTCAATGGACATTCCTGTCTCCCGAAGTGTCAACTGTGAAATGTCAGTTCTTCCATTTTATATTCTTTAGTTATGGCCATATCGTGTATGATGCCTTCGTTACAATTGCATCAGTTACGTAATCAGGGGCGGAGCTAGGATTCTAGAGTTGTGGGGGCAAAATTGAAATCTATTTAGAAATTTTTTGAAAATCTTGGATTTAAAATTTATTGTGAGGGCAGGGGACCCCACTGTAAATCCGCCCCTGACTGTAACCCTATAAATAGAGTTTTGCACATCTCATTTTACAGTTCGTGACAGTGAAAAATCTGCTAATCTTGTGTCATGTGTTTTTCTTGACAGCATCAACTAAGATGGACAGGCGCAAGAAGACATGATCATGTCACGTAAGGAGGGAATAATTGAATAATAGTGCTCATTTGTTAGTTACTGAATAGTAGTTGGAATTATCCTACCTGTAATACAATATGAAACACAATATAAGAATTCATGAAGCCTTCTTCATTCTACAAGATGAGAAAAAAGTCGAAAACAAATTTATCATGTATCAAATTTCCAATCTCAAAAAGGAAAAAATATAATTTCACTGGCTCAAGAGGTGCTTTATCATCTAGTGGCAAGAATAGAGAAATGTATGATATGTTAAAATGTTCAAGTAACTCAACATGGAAAACTGATGAGAACCAATCCATAGCTATTAGAGTATGGCAACACACCATCTCACGTGCAGACCAAGTTATTTTTTTCTGTTACAATTTTCATAAATGGGTTGTGACAAAATTTAAACCCAGAAGCCTCAATTTGACTGTTGGGTTTTTTCATACCCAATAAATTCGAAATTATGATGTTAACATGAGATATTATGTTTCATAGGTCTAGGCCAATTAATGAAATAAGTCCAACAATCAAGTCCATGAGCTCCACCCATTCCAATTGTATTCCCTCTTGGATGGCTTGAATCTTGGTTGGTTTAAATCTCTTATAGGTCCAACTTAAAGCATAACCCTAGACTACTTATAAGGCTATAACCCTAGCCACTTTCTAGTGTGAATTGAAGAGAACTCGGCCACCCCCTTTGAAGTGTGAAAAATGGCCTGTTGGTGTCCAAAACCAGTTGATTACTTTGTATAATTTGTGGTCCATTCATAGCCTACATTTGTGGTGTTTTCTTCTTGCCTTTGTCACTACAAATCATCACCGTTTCTTATCCTTTGTGGGTAAGATTGAATAGCAATCGAGGTGAATATATATTAGTTGTGGATAGGAGCCGGTTGGTTTAGTTGTTGGTAAAGAAAGATACGTTGGATTGAGTCCAAAAAACACGGATTTAAAGATCCTTGGAGCGAGCTTCCGCAACATTGACCATCGATCAACAATGTAAAAATAAGGATTCCCCGAGTTCATGATCGACTCTAACCCAGTATTAAAACTTAGGCCTCTTTAATACTCTTGTATTGATGATTCCAGTCAACTACCGGACTTGATTTAGTAAAGGTTTCAAATGTTTGCAGTGGTGAAAATTGGGAACTTTCCCAAGTATAAAGAAATTCGGGTGTCCACCAGTCTCATACAAATGCTTCAGATGAAGAATCACACTGTCCAAAACCAATACAACGCAAAAGGTAGATGTCTCGAAACGCATTTCGCAAGTCTTAAGATTGACTGAAGGTAAAAGCCCTGATGAAAACTATGAGACAAATGTCAAAAAACAAATTGTTTCAATGAAATCAAGCGTCAATAATTGATATACTAAGTACTAAACACAGGAGCTGAAGTCTTAAATCCTAATCCAGAAGTACATAACCTATGTAGATAATGCAGAACCATCAAACTGTGGCAGAACTTGTGCATCCAGTTTTAGAATGGAAGATCATACTTAAAGGAATCAATTCAATTATATGAAGTACGACTATTTGTGCTTGGATCAGAAGTGCCAGACTCAAATGAATGGACCTCCTTTAGTGAATGGATGTACAAATAAGGCCTTTAACTTGTTTACTCAAAATTTTTATCAATGCATAAAATGTACAGTGTAGCTCAAGGAGGTGGCAAGAACTGACCTCTCCCAAAAAGACTATTAACAAACTTAAATACCTTAACCAGTCCAAAGGACTGAGATTTTGAAACTTCATTACTCTTGCTAACTAGATTTCGAACACTAATACTGGTCATCCAGGCCCACGGACAGATCAAAAAACAGGGGGCTGAGGTGGCATCACCTTGGCCCTTGATCTGAATTTCAGGTGGCATCACCTCAGCCCCCTATTTTTTGATCTGTCCCTGAGTCTGGATCAGTAGCAGGCCTCGATTTCGAAAGGCACATTATATTGAAGTGAATAATTATGTCGTCAATCAAAATTCTAAAACGAAGACAATAAATCACAAGATACCATTTGATTGCTATACAATTTTCTCACTCGACTGCGATAAGCCTGGCCCACTCTTGGGGTTAAAGAAAAGATATAAATAAATGGGAAGTATGCATTATTTAACACTTGAAATATGAGAGGTTTGTATAATTTTTGCAAAGTCTTAAGGTACTCTAAAATTATCGGAAACCTCGTGGGGGTCTATATAATTTACCCAAAACAATCTTGCTCCCTGTATATCAAGGCTTATATAATGATTTATACAATGTCACATGACACTTTATCATTGATCGGTTTAAAATACAATCAATTTTTTCGTCCAATCATTTCCCTCCAATCCATCTACTGCTTCTAGACAATTTCTTCTAGCAAAGTAGATTAATTCTTATTCAAAATTCTAATAATTTTAAGTTGGTATTATAGCTTTACACCATTTTGTAATTTAAATGAATTTTCAAGAATACGTAAAGTTTTTTTCTATTTATTTTTGTAAGAGAAAAATTTAGGAAGACAAGACAAATATAAATATTTTAATAAAATATACATAGTCTAGTTATTAGTAATATAATTGAATTTACTGAAAATTAATGCATAGAAAAAAAAATGGATTAAAGATTAATAGAAATTAATATTTTGAAGAATAAAATGGTACGTTAACTGCTACGTAATGAAACATATTGGTGTGATGTGTTGTGTAGAACTAGGAGTACTGTGGTCTGTTTAGCTATTTTATAATCTTTATCTTTTACTACTAAATGCCATTTTTGTTATACAACAAGATACATGTAAAATGTAAATTTACAAAATTGAATTGCAAATTGTAAATTTCCCTAAAAAATTTAGCTCATGTTTGATTCAGATAAGAAATAGATTTTTATAAAAATTAGTAAAGTATAATTGAAAAGTTGATAAAAGTTCTATAGATCACATGTGTGGTTGAAAATGAGTTTTAAAAAATAAGGGCCAAACAGGGCTTAATTTTCTCAACATCTCTACGTTAGCTATACGACTGAAAGTATGAAACAAATCCATGAAGATGAACAATAATCTTACACATAAAAGTAGAGCGTAGCTGTAGGCTGATAAGAACTCTTTCCAATGCTCATCGAAGTTTTACTAATTAGGGCATGTTGATGACATTTGATGGCAAACAAGAATCCAAAAATGCATAACAAATACTAAAAATCCTTGGAACCAAATTCTTATCTCCTTGAACTGACATCAATGCCTATATATACACCACTTTAGAACGCTCACAAAACCATCAAAGACCAAAGAATTTCAATACATATATAATATTTTAGAGCTTCCTACTCCAATACAAGAAGAATGAAGTGTGTTATTGTATCAGTTGTTGCAATTCTTGCTGTCATTCAATTGGTGGTGCAGCCTGGACAGGCCATCACTTGCGGCTTTGGCACCGTGCATTCCCTATCTTACTGGAGGCGGTGAGCCATCCAGCGCCTGCTGTGGTGGGGTGAAAGCCGTCCAAGGGATGGCTCAAACCACTGCTGACAAGAGGGCTTGCTGCACCTGTGTTAAGGTGGCTGCCAATCGCTATGCAAACTTGAAGGACGGCGCGGCTCAGGCTCTGCCTATGAAGTGTGGTGTCTCAATGGACATTCCTGTCTCCCGAAGTGTCAACTGTGAAATGTGAGTTCTTCCATTTTATTTTCTTTAGTTATGGCCATATCGTGTGTGATGCCTTCGTTACAATTGCATCAGTTATGTAATCAGGGGCGGAGCTAGGATTCTAGAGTTGTGGGGGCAAAATTGAAATCTATTTAGAAATTTTTTGAAAATCTTGGATTTAAAATTTATTGTGAGGGCAGGGGACCCCACTGTAAATCCGCCCCTGACTGTAACCCTATAAATAGAGTTTTGCACATCTCATTTTACAGTTCGTGACAGTGAAAAATCTGCTAATCTTGTGTCATGTGTTTTTCTTGACAGCATCAACTAAGAAGGACCGGGGCAAGAAGACATGATCATGTCACGTAAGGAGGGAAATATTGAATAATAGTACTAATTTGGTAGTTACTGAATAAGAGTTTGAAGTATCCTACTTGTAATACAATATGAACTACAATATAAGAATTCATCAAGCCTTCTTAAATCTGCAAGCTTTAGTGATGAGAAAAAACAAATATATCGTGAATCAAGTTTCCAATCTTGAAAAGGAAAAATTTATGATCAAGGAATTCTGATACACTAAACTGGCTCAAGATGTGCTTTACCGTCCTGTGGCAAGAGTAGGGAAATGTATGATATGTTAAAAGGTTCAAGTTACTCAACATGGAAAACTGATGAGAACCAATCCCTAGCTATTAGGTAGTGGCAACACACCGTCTCACGTGCAGACTAAGTTCCTTTTTTTTATACAATTTTCATAAATAGGTTGTGACAAAATTTAAACCAGGAAGCCTCAAACTGACCATCAATCAACAATGTACAATAAAGATTCCAAATCAGAGCAGACCGATAAGATAGAACCATCGCAGAGTAAAATGAACCGGCATGTCAAGTTCTTGATCGGCTCTAACCCAGTATTAAAACTTAGGACTCTTTAATTCTCTGGTATTGATGATTCCAATCAACTACTGTAGTTGTTTAATAAAGTTTGGAAATGTTTATAGAGGTGAAAAACTGGAAACTTCTCCAAGTATAAAGAAATTTAGTTGTCCACAAGTCTCGCACAAATGCCTACGGATGAAGAAAGTATGTTCAAAACCAATACAACGCAAAAGACAGATGTCTTGAAATGCATTTCTCGAGTCTAAAGAATGATTGTACGTAAAAGTCCTGATCAAACCATGAGACAAATTTCGCTAAAAATAATAATAATAATAAAATCGTCAGCAATTGATCTACTAAGTCCAAATCACAGGAGCTGAATTCTTAAATCCTAATCCAGAACTACATAATAAATGTAGATAATATTCGGACAGAAGAATAGTTGCAGAACCATCAAACCATGGCAGACAGAACTTGTGCATCCAGTTTTAGGCATCCAATGGAAGATCATTTAGGCATCCGAAATGGATACCATATGCTCAGAATGGAAGAAATCAATTCAAATATACGAAGTATGGGCCATTTGCAACTTGGATCAGCGGTGTCAAACTCGAGTGAAAGACCTTCAAGTGAATGGATGCACAAATAAGGCCATAAATTTGTTTCCTTAACAAAATATTTTGGGGTCCATTCCCTTTACTTTTGCTTTGTCTCCTGTAGTAGAAGAGCTTTTCGAAAAAGCTATCTTAATTTTTATTGAAAACGAATTTTTAAAAAGATTCCCATTTTGAAAGTGATTTTAGAAGAAGTCACATTTGACCACCTTCATATAAAAGCTCTTCTAACTAAAAGAAACCCAATCATAAAATTACCAAATGGATTCAAAAACAACTTTTGGATATCAAAAGCTTCTTTTAAATTTTCAAAAGTCATGTCAAATGGGCCAAATAAAACTATTACACAAGTGTAAAAAAATTTGACGTCGATTTCTTCGTCTGTAAATAGAATCGCAAGCAGCTTTTCAAAACGACTTGATCAATAGCGTAAAATATGATTATTTACCTCTTCTTACAGTCAATAGAAATTTTCTAAGCAGTTCTTGTAGAGGATTTTTGTTGAAAAATATCAATTATTATGTGTTAGCAGTGCTCTATACTTGTTTGTCGTGATAAACAAAGCTTGAGGTTTTTCAATGTATATCATATTCGTTAACTTTCTGTTTTCTATGATTATCTACTTTTTTCTAAGAAAGAGGCCACATGTATGGGTAGGGCGAGTGGGAATTTTTTGGCAATATTTTAATTATATGAGTCCACCCCATGTGTCTGATCTGGAGAGGTTCTAAAAAGACCTTCTATACAGAACTACATTTTTCCAAATTTTTGTACGAGTTTGGTCCTTTTTAAGTTTATGCCTCAACTTACGAGAACTTCCATATTGATCTCTAGACCTCCATAATCAACCGAAACTAGTCCATCTCAATTTCCATGAGTGCGCTTTAAACGTTGAAAAACTTGTAAATTTTCTACGATTGCGCTCTTAATTCTTCTAATCAATCCCATGCAATCCAATATTGCATCGAACCAACTCCAAATTAGCTTAGAAACCTACATTTTTGCTCCAAATGCATTCAAGTCCAGATTTTACCGACAATAATCATATTTACACAAAATTAAGTAAAAATCACTCAATTAGCAATTAGTTATCTAATTTAATAGTACAGAAACACGCTTATCAGAAGTCATTCACTACAATTAGCTAAATTCACTTATACAAAATTCAATTATGATTAAAGAAATTCATGGGTTCTATGTGCAATGAGTGCAAAATTACAGAAAGAAAACCAATTGAATTATATATGAAGCACCCTTAATCCAATGCGAATAATCAACAACATTATGGATATAAGAAAATGGTTGCATTAATTAGAAAGAACTTAATTCCTACAAGAATTTAAGGAGTTGGGAATTTTTTTCTTCTAGTTGTAGGCATTTCTAAAAGAGTAATGCTATGCAACCAAACTGAAGTTGACAACCCCAATCTAGATGACATTAGATGATATGCTAAATGGAAAGTAGAATTAAATGACTTATTTAATTTTACTTATCATTTAATGTCACATTAACAATATCTAGATTGGGATTACAACCGCAGTGGGACTAAATAACATTACTCTTTCTGCATCAATCATTTTCACATTTATTCGTATGCCTACATTAGGGAAGAGATGACCCTTAGCTTTTGGTCTTCACTTATATTCAACTAGTGCAAATTCTTAATACCATGTTTTAGTGCATAAGATATCCTCGCAACAAATTGTAATACTAATTGTGGTTTCATGTTCTTCATGTAAAGGGTTTTCAACTGACATCACAAAACTAGAATTTTTCCCTGCAAGTCAAAGGTATGGATAGTAGAGTACAGTACAAGCTAAGGCTGTCATTTTTCGGGCTTTACATGACCAAGTTGAAAGGAGAAGGGTGCCGCTGTCTTCAGAAGCAATCATATTTTGTTGCAATGCCATGGGCCAGAATAAATGGAAAGCTGCCTGACCAATTCTATTGATCTCTTAATCTACTTCTCTTCAACCTATGAGATCTCGACTCCTGCACATTTTTTTAAGACATACAACAAAGAATTCTTCAGTTACATAAGCAGGATATCTACTGGTGTGATACTAGTTCCATTTACACTGTGGCTCTTAAGATACTATGGATTGTTTGGTAAGACAAGCTATACTGAACAAGAAGAAAAAGAAACTAAAAATCTTGTGTACTCTATGTCGTGTGACAACCATACCCTATATTTCTCTACTTTCCTGGTAACCTGTGCCTCCATGTCCGTATATTTATTTCACCATATAAAGGAATGTCCTAGTTGAGTAGAGATTTGCTGTCCAATTTTGCTGTTCATCCAATTAATTCATGACACATCATCAATTTAGTGGGTTAGTGTAGTGAAGTTAATGAGGATAAATTTGAGATAACATGTTAATTATTAATGACACGTCAAAAACTAATTGGATGGACAGCAAATGTCGACTCATACTAGTTAGATAATCAACTCTCATTTGCAGTAGTATAGATCCTGTGGCTTTACAGCATGGTATTGCTCCTCTGATTGACCAGGGGGCTAAGAAAAGGACAAAAGGAACACAACAATGAAGCAATTCCATATCATCCCAGTTCATGACATTTGAAAGCACAATCCATGACATTTGAAAGCACAATCGAAAGTGTTTCATTTTACCTCTTTTGCTGGCTTCAGTCTTCTTGATAATCCATCACTCCACCGTGTTCAGAAAAGATCTCTTTGTGCCCTCGGTGCTACATGTCGGCCTGCTTACAGTTCGTAACTTCTGCCACAATGTAAGTAAGATGCATTGGCCAACATAACCAGAGCTCGAATATATACTTATTTAGCATCTTTATTTTGAAATGAAAACTACTAATAAATTACAAACAAGAAAATTAACACACAAAATTAACCAGTAAAACCTTGCTCACTTGCACTCAGAATACCAACAGACTCGCAAACTTTACAGTGTTATAACTAGCACTGGCCAAAATGATATATTCTAGACTGGCTAAGCAGAGATGGGAAGTATATGGTTCAATTGAAGAAAATCAATATTATATGAGATCTATAATGATCAGCTTACTGAAATTTCTATAACCAGATTGAGAAGTACCAGGTTACCAATTCAGAACATAAGTCCAACCTTTATAACACACTTTCTACCACCTCTCGTTCCACAATAAAGAGTTTGGCTATGAACAAGGAACTTATCCAATAAGTAGCCTTTAAATAAGTGCTTTCATTATTTAATAGCATTTGATGAAATGTAAGAACTGATAATTTGGAGTGCATACTTTGACAACAAGAATGACACTCCACCTAGAGTACCAATCATTGGAGAAAAAGTATGTTTCAACTGACCTTGTGGGAAAGTGTCTTTTTCACATCTTCCACCCTTTCTTCTACATCTTTTCGGTGCTTCCTGTCCACTTCACTCATAGTATCTGCCCATTTGAGCTTCTCTCGAATTGAGATAAGAAGATTGTCTGATATGGACAGCCTAGGGCATAAAATAAAATAAAAAATAAAGGATTTCATATTTTCAATAATTGGCATACACCCAATAAGAAAGAAGAAAACAAAAGAACAAACTACAGAAAAATGGAAAACCATAACAGGCACTCTGCCACGTACTGGTTTTGAGACAGCAAGTAATTAAAATACAAAAGAAATGCAGCTTCTAACTCACAAATTTATTTAAAAACCTCAAATCCGTATTGCACTAATATTTTTTCATGAATATTCAAGGTTTTGATTATTCAAAACACAATATAACCCCAGCCAGCGGAGAGAAAGGTTTCAAGACACTATGAAATATACAACATAATATGCATAACGTGAGTAAACCTTTTGACTTCACAGCGATACATTTACCCGTGTGCATAAGAGTGTCATAACAGGTGACAGACAAGCTCAAACTTTTAGGCAAGAGATTAAATTATTTAAACACCCAGAATGTTTCCTAAAAACATAATCCACTCTTCAAAGAGCTATAAAATTTAGAAAAATACAGCTTGCTGGATAAACAACAGAAAAAAATAATAATAAAATAAAAAAAATGAAGAAGAAAAGAACTCTTCAAAAACAACGCAATATGTTAGTGGAGAGATCAACATATTAAGCCTGAAATGCTAAGACACAAAACAAGAAATTTACACAAGATATTGAAACATTAACATGCAATAACGACAGTGTTACCAATTAGCCAGTGTCTGTATCATACTTCCCAATTGTCCTGGTCTAAGATCCCTCCCCGCAGCAAAATGCACCTAGAAGCACATTAACAATTAGATTAGCTACCAATTAGCAGAACCATATGAAGGTAAAACCCACGACAATTAAATCAAGACCTCAAAGCATCTCTGCAATTGATCCAGCTTCCCTCTGACAATCCCCTGTCGAACAAAATCAGCATATTTATCATAACAATTTCTTCACTTGAATTCTCCATCAACTTTATTACAGTAAAAGGTGTGGCACAAAAACTCTGCCAAACGTGGGAAAAAAGCTTTGACATAATATAAAATATAGCAAATTATTTGAAAAAGATTTGATATGCAAAACATCCAAGTAAACCATGTTCAAGCCTTAAGGATTGTTATATATGTTAATCACCATTAATTAAATAATTGACATTAATTAGGATTATTTTCACAGATAGCATCAAAACATGCTGAACCGTCATTAGGCTTTAAACTTCATCTTGATCACACTAGCTTAATTGTCCGGGTGGAACCTAAATGACAAAAAACTAGCATTAATCATCGATAAAGATGTACCGAATGATGGTTAAAATTATACACAAAATAAGTTAATTTACTGCAGTTTTCGATAAAGGTTGAAATATATTTCAATCATAATCATAATAGAATAATTTTCATAAAGTAGACTTAGCTACTGGGTGACATAATTGAGTTTGAAGTCTAACACGCTGTCCAATTCTCAATTTCAGGAACAATTTTTTGGAGAGAGAAAATTAAAAAAGGTAAATTGTTAATTGTATAGCTACTTTAGTATTACCATTTCAAAAATAACTTTGATAAAACGTGCTATTAACTACAAGCACCCATTTCGTACGCATGGTAAAATAATGTAAGTCTATAATATATTTTGAACAGAAATACTCATCACAGCACAGTCTGAATCTTTATCATCATAATTTCTTCACTTGAAGTTATCCATCAACTTTATGCTTACACCAATAGACCATTTATTGATAGTGATTGGTAGCAGAAACAAATTAAGAGATCAAAAGAAGTCAAGATGGAATATTCATACTAAAGCAGAAACTTACTACATACATTATTTGATATACTACAAGTTCCTTCTTATGAGGAGAGTGGAAGTAATTATGAAGGGGTTGGTCTGCAAGATAAAAGCAGAAACTTACCAAACACATGCAATCATTGATGAGAAAATCTTCTAACTCACGAACATTCGAAATATCCAACTCCTTCATCAATGCATCATAGGGCAATACCTGGGCATAGCACAAAAAATGCTCTAAAGATCGAAGCAATTTTTTTGAAGTAGGAAAGTGAATGTGGAAACAATAAAATAACAAAGTTTGAACATTAAATGACAAAAAAGGTTAAATAAACCTATTTATACCCCAAAAAAAAAAAAAAAAAAGGCCTACGTGCTAATTAAAGCTTTCCCTTCAGTGTCTCCTGGAAACTCTCTCTATATGCACAATCCTTTCTTACAATGTGCTATTAATGTTGGGCTTGACAACCAACTTCCATTAAGAGATGACTGAGATGAAAACCAATAAAGACCAAATACCAAGAAAAATTCCATATGGCAGGCAGGACAACAGTTGATCATGGAGAAATTTAATATGCAAACTAATACAAAACGATTCAGTATGATTTTCGAGATCCACAAAGATGTTTCATTATTTCACAGATATTTTCGAATTTCAATTTACACATTGACCCCGAATTTTTGTATTCAAATGTGTAATCAACTTGCACTCATGAGAGCATAACATAAGTGTAGACCATGATCAAACAAGTGGTAAGTCAAAACACGCAAACTGGTTTGGGTCAATTTCTTAAAAAACAAACCATTCAACATTTCTAGGTAAGAGACCTTGTTCGTCTCCGCCAGAGTAAGCACAGTCAGTTTCTTCAACTTCAGGATTTGATCAGGAACTAATGGAGGCAGACGGCTAGCAATACCTGCATCACAACATAAATTATAAAGCTCATCATGGAGAGCATCCAACATGAGCCGAAAAGCTCAATCTATGATTATTATAGGAAGAACTTAATATATGTAAATGCTCAGCATTACTTTGATAATCAAATCCCCAGACACATAATAACAAACAACCAAATCCTCATAAAGTTATAGAAATATTTCACAAGCTTTCATTTTGAGGTTTATCCTATCATAAAGCATGAAACAAAAACTGAAAGATAAGCTCTAAACCCAGGAAAAAGATATATCTCTAATAATCATTCGGTCTCTAGGATAAGATATCTGAACACCATGTGTCCCTAATTCACTTGCAGAAGCAACATGATAGGCCCCAAGGCACACAAATAGTTAGTTCAGGGAAATGGTAAGATGGGAATTCAAACCCCGTTTGATAAACATTATTTTCAAGCTCTTTTTTCATACTCATTTTCAACCACATATTCACACAATAAAAGATTTTGCACATAAACTCAAAACTTTTCCTACTTTTTAACCATGTATTCTCCTGAAAATCACTATTCAAAACTCTATTTTTCTTAAATAATGGTTGTCAAATAGAGGCTTATTAGAATGAATTGTATAGGCTTCTAACTATAGTAAGGGGAAGGTAGTTTCATTTTCAGGCAGGCAAAATTTGGGTGTCAAAATGGGAGAGAGTCGAGCCTCTATAATGCTCGACAACAATTTGTAATTCAATTTCGTCTAGAATTCAATAATACAGATTCAAGTTTCTATAGCAACATTAGGGAATTAAAAAGATATTTCCCAATCCTGCATAAACCGATATTTCAAAATCTCGAATCATTGTCTGGCTTCATAACTATTAAGATATTTCCCATATCATTTGCAAATTTTTTGAGGGCTTAATAGTCCCCCATTATGCAGAGGCCAAGATTTCAAATTAAAAGAAAAGATAAAATGATGACAGGTGTTAAATTACCTATAGGAGTAGTTCCTGTACATAGCATATTTTTGTAGACATGTCATAGGTTGTTAAGAAAAATTGTTAAGAACATTTATGTTTTTTGAAAAATGTCCTTTTGTAAGTATTTCAAGATACTCCCTCTTTTTTTTTTTTTGGGCAGAAAGGCACTTCACCAATCTGCTAGGGAGACAAATTCTACTCTACTTAGTACATATTTAATTTATAAAACCATACATCTTTGGTACTGAAAATTGATCGGGGCAGATTCATGGGCAAAGTCTTCCAAATAAGATATCATCCAAATGCAAGCATGTATCTGACAATAGGCAACAAGACGCAGAAGCATTAGCATTACATGTTATCATGATCTGGACTTCATTACACATAAATTACCACTATGATTAATTATGTCACAATCTAATATCCAGTGAAAAATGTTCCACAAGTGATGCCCATTATGAACCCCAACGCCAGACTGTACAGTTTCCTTTCTATGTATATACATCATGAATTGTCAACATATAACAATTATCAGCATAATAGAGCTTTTTCAAACTTATATAAAGAGATACGTCACTTGTTTAAACAAATTGAGATTTGGTTGCTAGGTAAGACCAGAAAATATATAATAATTAACTCTAATGATAACAAACAATATGAAATGAATGAATCAGGCAAATATGAAGCAACAATATATAACAAAGATAAAGTGATAGTTACAGAGATTAAGCTCTTACACTTATATTCACTCCATGTACCATGAGCAAACATACGAAGCAAATCCAGGAGAATAGCATTAGAAGTTCCTTCAAGCTGCACACGTCCGATAATTAATAGATACATTATCAAGAAAAGAAAAAATGATATTAGACACATTTTAGCAACAAGAAAGCTCTACTAACTAATAAGTTGAATATGATACCCGTCAAGGAGAACTAAATTTTGACTAAGCCATTGAATAAAATTGAGAATTCTCGAAACAGCCATTTTAAAAATTAAAGATTCCTCGCACGTCTCCATCAACTTCTCTTGTTTACTCTTTCTTCTTTATCTATTTTGACTTTTAACATAGTTCTCTCAGACATCCCATTGTAAAATAAGAAACAGGACCTCTATTTTAAACTGTTTTGAGCAAACAAAAGGAGTCTCTTCATGACCATTTTTCCTTATTTTATGATTCGGATTTGAAAACATGACTACACAGTTGAAAGTTATGAAATGTCAGAATTTGAGATTTTCTAGAATGATAACGACTTTAGACCTAACTATTCTTCACATTATTTATTTTTACAGCTTCAATAATCAGCCCAGTTCATCTCAGCACAAGAGAGTATTAACGATGAAGTGGGATAGGAAAGAAAATGAATAAAAAAATTTAGTTATAAGCCATATAATTGTGAATATTAGGGGACACCACACCATTATCATCAAATTTAGTTGTCCTCAAGTAGCATTTTGATGGAAACCCAACCATCTCTCCCAAAAGACCAGGCTTGAGGGTGATTGAATCCCACAACTATTAGACCCTAACAATATTCCACGGCTCCAAATTCGACGTCCACGGCAATTCAAACTTTTTTTTTAATAGGTCTCTCCGTGAATACAAACTCATATGGACATTATGCAATTTGTTGACATATTGTAGTCATTCAAGGAAATTAACTAAATTCATTTCATCACAAAACAATTACAAAGAGAAAATTAATGGAATAACATAAAAGGCACTTGGATCAGACAACAAAACAACATTGTAGAGATAAACATAAATAGCTGCATTAATTAAAATAACTCAATTACTAGGGAAAAAACCCTTCAGGGCAATTTCCAGCCAAAACTAGGTAGCATACTAGAGCTCAATCTTAACATTTTGTTTACATTTGTAACCATTTCTAAACCCATCCTTGTCAAATTCTTTTGTAGTGCCTCAATTCTGGAGGGAATGTCCTTCATCTTTCCATTAATCAAATATAACATTTCCATCATGTCACTTGTACTCATCCTACAGACTCTAAATACTGGTGGCCATCATTAGTGGATTAGAATACCCAGATCCTTCCTTTTGTTCTCTGTCTGCAGCTTGGATTCGTTCCAGTGACTTTTTTGAACCATTGATCGACAAACGATTCTTGGTTCTTGGATGTTTCGATTTGTTCCGTTTGGAGAAGTTTCTCACAATAATTTTTGACATGTTATTTCTATTCCCTAGCACTAGTATGCATAGATAATACTAGCCACGATTAATTTAAAACACTGGTTGGTAATGAACTGTTACAATAATTGCGATTTCATATTTTCCATATAGTGGTAGGTAGTGAGTTGTAATAATAATTGAACATTCACGTTTTTCCTATAATCATCCATTGCAATTTATTTGGATTTGCAATAATTTTAACTACCAAAATATCATATTGTATGAAAAGAACAGAAGTTATTAAGACTTAATCTATATCTTGGCATTTCAGGCAAGTCACTTGTGGTCCAGTTCCAGTGATCATAATTAAGAAGTGATGTTTTATTGTTCTGTTTCAAAATAAAAAATAAAAATAAAACATAAAAAGAGAATTGGATTTTTATAAATCCTACATAAAATAAGATGACTTTCCCACCATAATAGGAATGACTTGAATCCCACATCTAGAGGAATCAAAAAGCCTCACATTTTGTGCACCTATTTAAAAAGTCGCCTCTTCTTATTTTTCTCATTTTTTTTTTTTTTGCAAGATAGTCATGGACAATCTTGAGGTAAGATTTTGGGATCATTGGCAGTCCAACTCTGTATACATATTTTGTCAAGTATACTTTTTATTCCAACTTCTCAAAAACAACTGACGATGGGACTCGGGAGATTAAGACATGTAACTTCACATTATTCTTTCTCTAAATATTTTGCTTCTTGTCTTTTTATTTTTGTTTTCCTTTCTCTGGATATCATTTTTTAAGTCCATGCAAGTTAAGTTTAGTTTATTATTTCTTTCTTTTTATTTTAGACTTTTAGTTCTAGATGGGAATAATAGTTTTATTACGTAATCAATATATGTTAATTTATTATCTACTCTGTAGATCTCTTTTAAGTTTGAAGTTGCAAGTTAGACCTTAATTCTGTTGGAATGAAGTAAATATGAATTTTTTGATAGTTTAAGTTATATTTGTAAGTATAATTTTGTGTCTCTGTAAGTTCTCAAATCCACGACTACTCTGCAATTTTACTTTAATATTTTCGGGACTGATTGCCTGTAATTCAAATCAATTGGCTCACAAAATTAAGAGGCCGTCCAAAACTCGCTGCATCATTTTTGCCATATAAATTTATTGTTTACAAATTGAAATTGAGATCAATACTTTTAGATTATAAGAATTAGTATCAATCCAATTGAACAAGAACGTCCTAGGGCAATATTACGTCTTCAAATTATCCCTCCATTGCTAACATCTTTCCTCGTGAATCCATATATTAAAAATCACAAGTATGGAAATCAGTATAATAAGTTCGCCCACAAAAATCTGAAAACACTTGTTAGAAAACCTAACAGCAGAATTACAACCGGCATGGTAAAAACATTCATAAATGTTACAATCAGAAATTATAAACACGTTGAAATTGAATGTACATGAATATAATAACCTCAAGTACATTGGGAACCGATAGAATCTCGGAAAAAGCAAAGAGTGAGGGGTGAGAAGTGGCCTCAGCAACGACGTCTGCAAGGGCGGAGCCATTGAAATTTGACGCCTTCATCACAAAATAGTCTATGTACTCCGCTTGCTTTTGCTCAGTGTCCATTGATCGATTTCAATTTCAACCAAAAAATGTGTAGAAGTTTCAGTGTTTATATGTTTACCGAGGGATTAGCGAGCATTACAAATTGTAGGCTTACTAAAAGTGCAGTACAAATCAAATAGGCTTGAAGTCCAATTGGAGATTTCAGGATAAAAGTCCAAATAGAATTATCGATGAATGCAGTGGAAGCTCACGAAAATAGTAACATCATCGCTCAAACTTGTAAGACGCCCAGAATCTGAGCCAATGGAGTGCCTTACGATCGTCCAGAGCGATGATCTCGTTTTCGCTCAAACCTTCGAATCGTTCAGGATCTTAGCAAATATAAAATATTATGGTTATTCAGAATAGCAGTTATTGAAATAGTTATTGAGTAATTTTATCACATTCCACGATTCAAGGAGCCAGTTGAAGGCGGTTGAACGACAAAGAATAATGAGAGCAGTTAGAGACGGCAGTTCCACGACAAGTTAGGCCACCATAAAGAAAGTGGGTAGTTATAAAGCAATCAAGTAATTTTCAAGCGGTTTGTCACAAGAAAATCATCAAGAGAATATAAAAAGGAAGAGAAGACATAGAGAAAGAGGGCCCGAATCAAACACTTTTAAATAGAAAATATGTAATTTTAATTTTTTACCTTAAATTTATACACATCTTTTAGTACTCGTATGCTTGCGCTCTTTGGACGCATTCTGTTTATTTCCAATTGTAAATCATCGCCAATAAAACACCATTTTTTGGGACTTTGTCTCGAGAGGTTTGTTCCTTACACAATCGTCTGATCTCTTTTTAATTGTTAGCGACTACCCGCGCGAAACAATTTGGCACGTCCGGTGGGACCTTGGTGTTTGGTGTTGAGGATACAAAAAGCGAAACAATATGCCTCATAAATCTGATAAGGAAGCAGCAAGTCAGGGAGTAGTCTAGTATGTGATCGAGCGATATGAGGAGCAGCAAAACTCTCAACGAACAGAGGGACAGAGTCAGAGCAGTCACAGTCGTTACGAACCAATGACAGAGTTGAGTTCTCGAACCATGCGTGCATTGCTTGGAAAACTCACAGGATATCGTTGAACAAGTAAATCTACGAAATGTTCATAATATGAAAAGATTTACCCAGAATGGGAATGCGCATTATGACAATATGGCCAAACAACTGAATACATTAAATGAAATAATGAATAAATTAGTAGGCCAAATTTGGCAGCCAGTTGTACCTATTGCAAGTCACTTTCAAGTTAGGACAATTGTAGGACATAATTCCCCAGTCCTAAGTCCAAATCAAGGAATAGAACCACCTTTTGGTCCGTCTACTTCAAACCAGGGGATGGTGTAATGTCAAATCAGAATATTGGTAATCGTACATCTAACTTGGGGTGTAACCTAAATGTAAGAGACAATGTCCTAAATAATGGACAGAATACCCCACGTGTTAATGATGGAATAAAGATTCAGTCTAATGGTAACAATGATTCAAATCATGGCAACTTTGTTGCCAACCAAGGACCAAACATCATACCTCAAGGAAATTAACCGATCAACCAACCTGTAGGAATTCCATATGACCCCAACGTCATGTTGAGAAATCAAATTATGGAAATAGTACAGGATCAAATGGTTTTTTGGGATACGTCCTGTCATTAGGCCGACTTATATAAAACCATATCCTGATGGGTAGATCGAGCATATCCATGGCCTAGAGGGTATAAAGTGCCAGAATTCTCATTATTTACCGGTTTAAGAGAGATGTCTACTCTAAAACACATAGGGTGATTCACACTACAAAGTGGTGAAGTAACCAACTACCATAAAATGAGGTTGTTCCCTAGTTCATTAACGGGAGTAGCTTTCTCCTGGTTCATCAATTTGTCAGCGAACTCTATTCAAACATGGCAATAATTGGAGCAATTGTTCCATACTCAATTTTATAAGACTGAGTCTGAAGTTACTTTGGCCGATGGCCGATTTGGCAAATCTACGTCAAATGCCAAACGAATGGGCAGAAGGTTTCCTTCAAAGATTCAAGACAGTAAGAAGTAAATGTTTTGTACCTTTTCCCGAAAAAGAGTTTGTCAAAATCGCTCAAAGTTGTCTAAACTTTGATTTGAAAAAGAAATTTCAAGATAGGAAATTTCCTGATCTTTTCCAATTGAGTGCAAACGTGATTAGGTATGAACGATTAATAAGAAAAGAAGAACAAATAAAAAATTCTAGTAAGGGGACTTATTATAGAGACCCAAATTTTGATAATCATATCATTAATGACGAGTATTATGATCAAATCGAAATGTGTTTGGCCGAATTAATCAAAGGAGACGCATATACTTGTCCTATAATGGTTAAGCCTAGATCGTCGGGCAAGGATGAGCCTGTAAAAGATGAAAACAAAAAGACTAGAACGTTCTCGTTCGATATTACTAAAGCTGGCCTTATATTTGATAAACTATATAAGGATAAGCAGATAAAGTTGAGCGATAAATATAAGTTGCCAAGTCCTGAACAAATCAAGGGTAAAAAATATTGTAAGTGACATAATGCATGGTCACATTTGACTAACAACTATTTGGTTTTTCGCCATGTGTTACAAGACGCCATTGAATTAGGACGAATTACGTTCGAGGATAAGAAGAAGATGACAGTGGATGAAAACCCTTTTCCACAACCACTTGGGGTGAACATGGTGACTACTGGTTTCAAAAACAAGTTGCCAAAATTCAAGTTGGTTATAAACGACGGAAAGGAGCACCCTGGTCCACACCCCAGTGTCTTTGAACGTATCAAAGGGAAGGAGCCTATCCTAAAAAGGATGAAGACGTCCTGTGTGCAAGATGTAAAGGAGAAGTGGGTACAAATACAGAAAAACAGGAATATGGCAGCATCACCATCGCCCTAGTTTTTTCCCAAACGCTCAGCCTGTTAGAGGGTGATGTACATCATTCTATAGGGGACCGCCTTTTGAGAGGCAGTTCAGGTCAATAAATAATAGGAGAACATTCAGGCCGCAACCTCGCCAACCAAATGTATGGCATTCGTTCCAATATAATGCAGGAAGGGTGATGCCCTTCAACAGATGACTAGAATCCAACAAAGGCATTTTCAACGGAATTATGGACGAATGATGAGGCAACAACAGGGAGTGTCACGTCCTAAGGCGCCTAAACTACTAGAGGTAGCCAATCAAAATGTTCTCGAAGACAGTAAAAAGACTAGTATAGGTGAATCGATGGAAGAATTGCCAAAGAGTTCTTCTAGGAGATCGAAGTTTGAGCGAGACAGAAGGGACGAAGAAGATCCAGATCAGCCCCTTCGGTACGTTACCTCCTATCATGGCTAATAACTATTTACTAGCCAATGAATTCAAAAACAAAGAGAAAGAAGAAAAAGAAAGGGAGGATAACGAAGAAGAAGCATGTGTGTTCGAATGTGAAGAAGGTCAAACTTCTAGAGGGGCCTACAATGATGAAGAGGATGATGGTATGACGGACATCGAAGAGGAAATTAATCTAGAAGCAGAAAGAAGAAAGAGAGGAGTATCGCGCCATACCCTGTTGAAGCAACTACATAGAGAAGGTGTTCGTGAAATGGATTTGCTGGGAGAACCATCTGGGCGTTCTTTCGATTATTATGTGTTGTATGGGACACCCAAGAGAAAAATGAGAGTACTTCGCTCTGAAAAGTATGGGTCACCTCCAAGAATATTGCATCCTCCCACAGGTTGGGTAACCGAAGAAGAAGCATTAGAAAATAATAAATAGGAAATTCAGGAAGCGGAAGCTCAGTGCGACATACTGCATGTTGACTTATCACAAAAGGATAATTCAACAGAGAACAAGTAGGAAGTGAAAATAGAAGCTGTCGAAAAGGTTATTTTTAAGAGATCAGCCATGAAGTTAACTAAACACTTGAGGCCATTGTACGTTAAGGCTTTAGTTAACGGTATACCTGTGGTGAAAGTACTTATTGATAATGGAGCAGCTCTAAATATCATTCCATCTAGGATGATGAGGAAATTTGCAAAGACAGAAAGTGATATGATTCCAATAGAAGTCATCCTTACAAGTTTCAATGGAGGAGCAACTTCAACTAAAGGGGTTATGCCATTGGACATAACTGTAGGGACAACTACTAGGACCACAGTCTTCTTCGTAATAGATGGTCCTACTAGTTACAATGTGTTATTAGGAAGGGATTGGATACACGGAATTCGCTGCATACCTTCATCGCTCCATCAATGCCTGGTTTTCTGGAATGACAAGGGTGAAGCAGAAGTGGTGCAGGCAGATCATAGACCTTTTGTTGTAGAAGCAAACTCAGTGGAAAGGTTCATGTACGAAGGAAATTACGGACCTGTCAGAGTAGTCCAAGATGGAGAAGAAACTCAAATTGTTGCACAAAGCGAAGTGTCGTTTCTGTAGATGCACTCACTGAAATGTTCAGTCAAATGAGGCCAAACATAGTGGCCCTAGAAGAGCCAGTAATTGGCAAAAAAGTAATCAAGGAATTTTAAATGAGTTGTAAGCAACAAAGGCAAATGGCCGACGTTCAGACCTTCAAAGTCAAATTAATGGCTTTCAATAAAGAATGTAAAGACAAGACGAAAGAAGAAGCAGCCTTAAAAGCATTGGGAGACAAATTAACAGTATTCGAGTTGGAACAAAGTATTGGCTGAGAAGTCAATAAGATGGATTGTTTAGAAGAAGAAGTACCTATAAGGGAAATGGACGATGAAGTAATGAGGATCACCAAGTCTGGATACGCTCAAGCACAAGACCCTCTGATTAAAGTGAATATTGGTAATGAAGGGGAAGATCGCCTAACATTTGTCAGCCAGATGCTCGATCAAAAGGTTAGTGATAAATTAATCGCTTTATTAAAGGAGTATAAGGATTATTTTGCTTGGGAATATGAACATATGCCTGGTTTAGATAGAGATTTGGTGGAACATAGATTGCCAACCAAGCCAAATTTTAAACCTCATAAGCAACCTCCTAGGCGTTTTGCTCCTAATGTACTTCCTGAGATTAAGAAAGAAATAGAGCGATTATTAAAAGCAGGCTTTGTTAGAACATCCAGATATG